TTGGCCCGGGCGACTCACGACCCAGGATTTGATCCCCGGACCGCTCGCGTGGTAAGCGTGCCACTTGCCACTACACCACTTCCGCCCGGCGGTACTCGGGCAAAAATCCTCAACGTGGCCATTTTTTTTAATACTGGACGTTTGGAGCAGTTCTAGTAAGCGTTGATAGAGCAAATCTTCTAGTTTATGATGACGTATTAACTTTTCAGATTGGATGAGTTTGAACGGAGTTATGGCTTTGGAAAGTAAAAACTCGCACTCATCACGAATTTTCCTCGTTAATTTTGCAAAAATCCTCAACGTGGCCATTTTTTGAATACTGGACGTATGAAGCTGCTTTAGCGACCGTTTGATAGAGAAAATCTTCTAGTTTTGTATGCCATATAACTTTTGAATTTGACGAAAATGAAGCAAGTTATGGCTTCGGAAAGTAAAAACTCGTGCTCATCATGAATTTTCCTCGTTAATTGATCTAAATTTGTTATTTCTTATAAATTTTTGTAATTTCAATACTGATTGGAAAGAGCTCTTCACAATATTCCGCTTGAATGGAATAGGCAGAAGTGAAGGTTGCTCTCTGTCTTCACTTCGTATGTTCCCGCTCATGAACGGCTAAAAATGGGTGACCTATGGCCAGGTGTAGCAGCCGCAGGAAGGATGCGATCGCCTGAAATGTGAGCAGTTATGGATCCGGTCAAGGTAATAACTACAAGACGAGTACCTGCGCCACAATTAATACATAACTCGCGAAGACACTACGAGAGAGTGAAAAGCAATAGATGTCGCCGTTATTCGTGTTTACTTTACATTACATTTATGCAGTGCATTACACATTGCATTACACTATACACTACATTTGTGCTGCTGACAAAGGAATCGAAAAACACAGTCAAAAAGGATAATGGATAAAGCAGACAACGTTGCACGAGGACTTTTAGGGCCACCACGCATCCTACTTCCATCATCAGTCGTAGTGGGATTCATTTGGCTTGAATAATGAATTGCGAAAAAGAGTCGATGTCTGTAGTTGATGTAAGTCAGTATTTTTGGCCTATCTAACAACTCTGCTACTAAATAACTGATCCCGGAACGATGGATAATTTCGAAGGAATCCAGTCCAGAATTTGATCCTCGACTGTGTTCATAGCAAGCGGCGTCACTTGCTTCCGCTCGAGCCTATCAATAAAAGGTCACACAAAAAAAATCAAAGGTACATGACGATTCAGCTGAGCATTCTGTTGCCGAAGTCTACTGATTGGCTCATCACGCTACACTGACACGTATACTCCGCAAGTCCTTTGCCCTGTTTGTCCAATCTCAGAAATCTTCTGCTAAAAACGCTCCGTAGTGAGGGTCCTGGATCACCCAGGAACATGATGAGAAAAAGAGATTCGGAAGTTCTGATAGAGAAAGCGTAGCTGAAACATAGCATAGCTAGGCCGTGCAAAAAATACTGTATATCAATGGTTCTTGATCAAAAACAGCACGTGATTTCTGCGGTGTAATGGATGAGCACAACACCCAAAACCGCATATCCGACCAGGTTCCTGTATCGGCTGAAATGCTTTAAGCCGCTTTTCGAGACTGTTTTTCACTAAATTACTTGCAAAAACTATCAGGTGTAGAACTAAGCTGAAGCTAGATCCCTCTAGACCAGTTCATGAACCCAGCAGTAACTTTGAGATAATCTTGTCCATTCATGAAAAATCGGCATACTTTGGCCACGGGGGAGATAATCCTTGCGAATGATCCGGGCGCTGGGCGGTCAGGAGAAACTAGACTCTTCTCGAGCTAGTTATTCAGCTTCGCTGTCCTCGAACGTGAAGTTCACGGCACTCGTCACGTCTCAATTGTCCGACATTTCATTCCCATTCCATTTCCCTCTTAGGCAACAATTTCTGCCATTAATTGCATAATTTAGAGGACGAGACAAAAATTCTATGCATGTTGGTAGTATGCGTTTTTATGATTCAGTTTCACGCCGATTCAGCTTACTTGCAGTATTCCTTCATGCGACTAATATCAATGCAATTCATACAAATTTTTTCGTCCAGTGAGAATCTGCGTGCTACAACAACTACCCTACTGCACAACGCTCTTCATTCATGAAACACTAAACGACTATCTGATGTTCATGGGAGGTTTGAGAGACCAACTGAGCTAGTTGCATCTCTTTTCAATTATTCTCTCGGCGCGGCCAGTTTTTGGCAGTCAGCCAATCGGTTGGTACCAGTTTTTATTCCATTGGGGAAAAGCGTGCGAGCGGCTACACCTTCTTTTGTTAAACCGCTCCACAGTCATACGCTCATTCGTGTGCCATCACTATCCCATTACTGTTTGAGCAACGCAAAGATTTTATTCCTAATCTTCTCTCACTTTACTCCTTACCGATGCATTCACTGAAAATTTGGAGGGTTACTCCTTACCGATGCATTTACTGAAAATTTGGAGGGTTGTCACTATATTTCTAGGCAACGTCTTAACATTTGCCTTCTGCTACTCGGGTGCGGATGTTGTTCGGTGGCCTCTTACGGCACATTGGGAGCTAGACGGATCGGAAAGTAATCGTGGCGGTTAGCTGGTGTCTGAACAGGAGGGAGCAATGGGGCTGCACGCTCTGTTGCGCTTCAACCCCGACGATAGACCTTCACTGACCGTTCGACCCAACTGACGTATGCGTCCAACGAAACTACAAGCGTATACAATCCATTGGCTTCACGTTTTCAAAACAGGGGCCGCATGCATAACTTACACTCATCACAAATTTCGCTCCGAATACAAGCGACTACAACGCACAGAATGGAAATCTGGTTTGATAGTCAGAATCGTTCTGATTTTGAATGCGTACGCGATCTGCACAGTTCTGTATGTATTGTCGAAAATACTGTGTAATGTTATGGCAGCTCTTGTTCCTCATTCAGCAACTCAGAGGGATGCAACATCAATACGGAAAAGTTATTCACCAGACAACGTTTCCGCGGAAATGGTTGTACCTAAGTGGTCAATTTCCATCTACAGCTAATTTTCTGCGAAGATCTCGAAAATTCTCTGCACCTCATTTGACCGTGGTACACGCTCAGAATGGGGATCGCCAGCCACTCAATTCAGGATCGGCGTTGAGTAGAGGTCGTTGGCCAGAAGTTTTTTTGATGACATTGTCCAATTTTAAATTAAGGGAAAGTTGTGTGGGATCATTTTTGAGCAGATTTGCCCTTTTTGAAGTGAATCCAGTTCCGAATGGTAATAGCGCTGACCCCGATCCACTCTCACTCTCAATGTACCTCTTTGAGGTCTCACTGAACGCATTTGTTTTCATTTTAGTCCGCCAATTGTTTGTACAGGTTTCTGGCAACCTTGGACGCAGCCTTATCACATTTCCTGTTTTCTTGCAAGTTATCTTCATTGTCAAAACATAATTAGCCCTTTGCATGTCATTTGTCTCCTGATGCTAAATGGGCATGATAGACGCGGGCCTAAAAAGGGAAAAGGGTCTAGCTCGTTCACCGAGCTAATAGGTTATCGTGAGCTTATTGTGCGTTACCTGCTGTTTCGATAATTCCACGTGGTGGTACAGCTAGTGAATGGTGGAGAAATCCTTTCTACGGGAGCCCGCTAACTAGTTTTCATTACTACTTACCTCTCAATTAATACATATAGCTAATTGCTTTTTTCTTCCAAATTGTGGTTATGTAAGCGTGACTAGGCTTAATAACAATGGCTAGCGGTTCTTCATGAAGTTAATGCATGTGTGTTCCAATCATAACACGTTCCTAATTGGCATTGATAGCTATCGCCGTCGCGTTTTTCGTTGATATTCATCTCGCCCACTCCACCCCCATGGTCTACCCTGGTCGGCTTTTCCTCAAGCTGCTTACCAACAACACTGTTTCACTCACCCTTACAAAACTACCCATTGTTTTAATATTTTTGCCTACCACGAATCCATGGCATTTAAAAAGCGCAGCCCAAGACTGTGTCACGCTCTATACACCAGAAATGGTGGTAATTACTCTTGATCCTTGCCTAACTTCGATTTGTTGAAGTCCTTATTTACCGAGCAACAAGAATATATTAAATCTCAACTGCCGCCTTACCACACAAAACCGGTTCTGAAAACTAACAAGTGGTCAAGATAGTATCTGATGTTCTCACGTTCAGATCACTATCTAGACGTTTCTTTTTAGCACTTTTCAACACGATTACGTAATTTTTACGTTTTACTCTAGCACGGAAATCGACCGTCCTCTTTGAGTTTTGATTATATTTGATCGAGTTGCCCAGTAGGATTCTCTTCGTTGCCCTTACACGCTGTCAGCACCGGTTCATCGAGAAATACTTCTGGGGTGTGACCTGTGGTAATGAAAACCGTGCAATTCTGCACGACAATCTTCAGTCCGGCTCACGTGTCGAGTTATTAAAATATTACGCCTTCGTCGGTTCTTCGTGCGCACAAGCGAAATTCTGGAGGAAATACAATGTGCAGCTGTTTTGGTGAGGTTACTGCTAGCGGGCTATGTTCTGGTCAATTTGATCCAATCACACTCATATATAGATGCTGGCAGGCAGACGACACAGCGCGACACACACGCACAAGCCCCGCCAGTCATCTTAGTCAGCGCCTGTTCAAATCTGGTTATGCTGGCTTTCCGAATATCCTATCGAAGACCACTGGCTAACGCTGCCATTTGTGTGGCGATACCGATCCAGTTTGCGCTCCCCCATCTAAACTCTTCCAAATCCTCATTTTTTCCATGACTATGAAATCGGCCTTCATCGCTATCACGTCGCTTTCTGAATCTTCCGTCCTCAAAGCTTTTCAGGACAGCAATTGTTGCCGTTTTCCCTACTAACCAATGCGTGCCCTGATGGGTGGCATTTTTTACTCAATGTGTTTTCAATTCGCCTTTTACTCAATTTGCAGCTCTCTCAGCGTTCATTCTTATGCTTTAGTCATCAACGAGAACATCGCATGCCGTGCATAGGGAGGAACTGTTGAATGTATGAATCTAATGATTCGTTGCCTCGTCCTCATCTGCTTAGCTTCTATCACTCGGGTAGGTTTTGTGGCGTTTCCTGTGAGGATTTCTTGTTTTTCGGAAGTTTCTACAGCCAGTGAGTAAGGAGAGAGCAAAACTTCTCCATAACCAAGTGAACTTAGTTCATTTTTTGGGATTTCAAAAGCCCACGGAACACGAGCCCTCCATTCTTCGTCATAAGGGCGGTGTTCCCGCAGGGATGAGCTGGTCGTCATTCGTTAGTTGACGCGGCGAGATTCTTATGCCTCACATCAAAAATGTGCAAGAATAATCAAGGAAAAAGTGTTAGTAACTAATGATGCTCTCCAAACGTCCTCATTTTCTAGAATTCTCTTCCTATCATAAAAGTGACATGATCGCGTCATGTTTCATTTGAGAAACCACTTGAATAACTGGTTTGAAATCGGGTAAGTAAGTTAGTGAAGGCTGTCATATGCCACTATTGGAAAGAAAATAATATTCCGGGTTCACCCACTCCTTGTCTTATGAGGGTATGTTTTAGGCGCAGTTCACAGATCCCTTCTGTTGCATATGTTTTTTTGCTGTTAAATAAAGAAATGACGCAAATATTAACTTCACAAATGCACGGCCAAAATTGATCCACCACTGGTCCATGGATTTCTAAACCCGGATTTCTTAGTCGCGCAACATTTTTTCAAGCCCACCCGACTGAAAGTGACGAATCGTCGAGGCATTCGAAAGCGCGTGTCGCACGCAAGCAAAGTGAGAAATGCTAATTATCGGATTATTTATGGAAAATACTGCTCACTTCTCAGTGAATGAATCACTTTATTCACTCAACATTTGCTAGGCTACTGGGTCGTACACACCTTCAATTTTGAGCGGGGGCGGCAGAGCAATGGATAAGATGCATCCGTTTTGCAGTATTTCGACTGTCAGTAGCCGCCCCTTCTGCAAGATACCCCATCTTAACAAGCCGACAAGACTTCTGACTTTGTCCATGCGATTAGAAATAGGATTGAAGCCGAATATCAGCTGGCCTCCGTAAGTTATAATAGAAACGAACTGTGCATGTCACTGCTTTTTGTGCTCAGAAGGCAACGCGCAAGGCGCAAGTGCGTGGCGTATCCGTGAAAACTGTTTAGCGTCAGTGAGCCAATTCTTTATCAATCTTTTCCTTCATATTTTGCCTCTTGAACCAGTTCCTGAAAAATGGAAAAATTATGGATTCGTAGCGGAAACTGTTTCTTTCAAACTCTCTAGTTCTCGATGGTTTTTGAGCATGAGTTGAAGCTCGTACAATCTTCCTTTACGGTGGTCTTATCTAGTATGCGTAGGCAATTGAAGCCCTTATCCAGGCTTTATTCTTTTCTCTTGATATGGAGCTATCGCGAGAAAAAATGAGCTGTTTTCATCGCTGTAATTTCAAACTGACATGTAGAAGTTGAAATAAAATATTGTGAAAGTGACGCAAATGGCGCTGCTTACTACGGGCACGGTCAAGGGTCAATTTTTGGATAATATGCCCTCCAGGAGCGTAATTACAGACAGAATTCGAGGATAAAAACACGGACATGTACATCAGCTAGGCCACAGCGCAATGTATAGGCCAAATCGCATTCAGTTACTGTTTTGTGATTATTCAACGCTTATACTTTTCATTGGCTGTTGAAAATTACAATGTTTACACCGGTATTTGTGTTATGATCATGAAAATCAATCGCCAGATAAATACCTGCGTGACACGCCTTATCTTCGGAAACTTGCAGTTTTAAAGTTTTACAATTGCTATTTATTTCGAGAGTAGTAGACATGTAGCCGACGTGAGGGTCAATCACTAGGCAGGTGACCATATCTTACAGCTTATCTCCGGTAACTTACAGTTTTAAAGTTTTACAATGACATACGACGCTGACAGCTGGTAGTTGTACAGCAAATGTCAATAACGTATCAAGAAATAAATTTCAATCATATGACGAATAGGCAATTAATTGAATTTATGACAAACTGTTTGATTTAACTTCAAAGTGCTCGTCTTTATTGCTAAGGAATGAAATGAGGGGACATCAAAGCTCCATACCACTCTTCTATGTTTGTGAGTGAATTCCACCGCTTTCCGCACAATTCCCAGCCATTATGTCCCAATTCCTTTTTTTTTCGAGTGGGATATTCAGGAAAAGCAAACGAACGACTTTCGCTTTCGCTAGCGTTACACGGCGCTGCTGTACAGCATGAATAGGTGCAAGCTCACCCCGATGACGCATCTTTTTGACACGATTTCACCGAAAACAGCGATTTCTGAGTCGGCTTCGTACTTGCCCATATCGAATAGGAGAACTGGAAGCAAATATGGAATTCCTTTCGATTCAATCGATTTGCCATTCGTGTTCTGGAGGGAGAGAACTTGAAGAACCTTTTCCGACTATCTGGTGACTCACGCTTAACGTACTCATGCTGACATGCGCACATTCCTGATAAAAGTGAAAGCAATTATCTATAAACTATACAATTGAGAGGGAGGATAAAGGATAAAAAAGGATAAAGCATTTGCCGTTGATCAATCCCTTTTTGGGATGCGGCACGCATTCTACTTCCATTTGTACATTCGTAGTGGCGTTTGAATGCGATGTGGCCTATACAATGACTTGCGGGGGCCAGCCGATGTACAAGTCAGTGTTTTTATCCTCCCAGACAAGTCTGGTACCAATTAACCGACCCCGGAGGGATGGAAGGCTTGGTTGGCCCGGGCGACTCACGACCCAGGATTTGATCCCCGGACCGCTCGCGTGGTAAGCGCGCCACTTGCCACTACACCACTTCCGCCCTATTTGTTAGGGAGGCACACGACATTTCATATGAGAAAAGCCCGAATTTAACATAAACGTACCGAGCCATCCAAAATGAGGAGAGATAGATTCCCAGCAGATTTCCGTTTTCCAGTTCTACGTTCGCAGACCAGGTCGCACCCCAACTTTCACTGCAAGTATAGTCTCACGGGTTGGAGCTTCATTGTGCATACCAGCAAAACCATGCGATTTGCTAGCCACTTCGACATATTATAGTTGAATATTCATTTGGAAATACTACAAAAATCGTCTGATTGGTTATCCTAACGTGGTGCCGTAAAGATGCCCCCCGGCCTTGATCTTATTGGTTAGGTTACTATTTACCCTCTTTAATAACCACTGAGGTTCTACGTCGGCTTTTACGTGCAGTTCTGTAAACTGTTTCGTCCGAATAGCATTCGACCAAATATGATAAGCGGCAAAAGGTTATATTTTGTTTAGATTCTCTCAAGTTCGGCCAAGTACTTTTTATGACTCGGGTATAACTATAGATACGTCGTAGCTGTATGTGATAAAAGCGTTGCTAACATGTGCAATCCATGGATCAGTTTCCAGAGAAAGACTCAGTCAGGCCAATATGGTTTTCCACTTTTCATAGCCAACTAGTCTGTAAAGGAATCACCACGAAAATAACAATGTTGATGTACTGCGGCTGACCGCCAGGGGTAACCGCGTAGCCCAAATACGCATTGAGCTTTAACTACGATTCCGAAATGAAAGTGGAATGCATGCGTGCAAAGTGAGCACTCAAACGAGCTAGAAATTTCTTATGCGCATCATTCCCATTCCAAACATGGGTATTACACGCAAGAGCATTCGTCCTTGTCTCGGACCCATCGAAATTAGTGAGACGATCAGGATCAGGCCAATGGGAACGATACTGAAGGTTATTCGTGAATTCCATGCTCTTCTTTGATTCAATTTGTTGCAGGGTATTCATCACAAGCTCACAAAAAGAGAACTTCAACACGTTTTCGGAGTTGAGGAAGTACATCAGGTGAGCAGAGCAGTGTGCTTATTTGAAAGTTAGTACAGTGAAGAAAAATACGAATTTGCAGGTTCCAGAATATGAACTGATTAAAACCGAAAAGTTTCGTAAGGAAGATGGAGGTCTTCGGATACGATTCTCTGCTTGGGGTGACGAATACGTGCTGGACTTGAAACCAAACAGTCGGCTTGTCAGCCCACATCTGGTAAGCCCTGCAAAGTTTGTTTCACATTTATTTTCCTGTGAAGCAAGACATGGGTTCTTTTCAAAGTAAAAAAAAGTACGCCTAATTCAGGTAGCAGTCACCAGGAACGGTTCCGAGGTGATCGAGCGAAAAGGCCTCGACCTAGATCACAACTGTCACTTTCAGGTCGGTCCATGGAATAGCTTATGAGAAGTCCTAATCTCAAATGTTCTATTGCCCTCGGAACCTTAATTCTGTTATTTTTATTTCGATCTTTCTTTACAGTTCACTAAATAATGAAGCAATAAATAACATTTCAGGGCACTGTCTCCTCTCATGGCAAGGTACCTGTGGCTATTTCTGATTGTCGATCGCTTATGGGAACACTGATCATGGACGATCACTTTCTCGTTCTCCAGTCAGTACCACAGCGAATCCGCCACCACAATGTAATTCCTACTCCCACTGTTTTGGTTCAGTCGCTCAATGCGCGCGAGGCCGAGCTCGTGAGCTAGCGCATTTCAAGTCATAATTTTAACGACTAGAAGGACTGCAAGTTCTTAGTTACGGGAGCTATCAGGTGTTTGAGCATCGTTTTTTTCAACATAACTCATTTCTGAGCCATCTTTAATTATTAAAATCAAAATTACTGGAATCAACAAGTCTTCACCAACAAGAACAAGGGTACTTATTTCTGTAGTATTCGGGTTCTACGAAAAACTAAATACATACTAGCTGCGTAGATGTCCCTTTCAAGGGTTTGATGGTATAGCATGTCATGTAACTGATGGCGCACATGCAACCTGTAATTTGGGACTGGCCCCAGTTAGCGCAAGCCGCGTCATAACGTGACGTGGTGGTGCGTCTACTTGGCGTCGAGTCCGGAGTTGGCTAGCCAGTAACATGGTCAAGGGTGACTATGGGAATTTTCCTGAACTTGACCCTTGACCCCTTCCCCCACCCCTCCCCGACAACACCACACATGAAGTTGGTCAACCACATATACTACGAATATGACCCTTCTCAAGCTCCTTTCACCTCCCTCCCCCTTCACCCTAACCACCATGGATGCTAAGACTAGTCAACACTTTCCAACTCTGCTCACTGCCCCTGTGGAACTGCCGTGGAGCGGCGGGGCGGTGGGTGTGGCTATATGAATACAGCAGATCCTCTTTCACCTATTTCGAGCATTTTCCGTGGAAACTCCATGGTTGACCCGATTGTTAGCGCCTCATGAAACTATGCGGTACGACCGCTCCATGGCGACAAGAGCTCGGCCCCGTGTGGATAGAGCACTGTATCAGGGTCCACATGTAGTATTTCGGAATATTCTCGAGAAATTGCAAACGTTATGAAACCGTTAATAACACCTTGAATACATAAATAACAATTTCAGCCAAAGGAGCATCTCGTTTTCAAGCGGTCTGCGGGTCTTCTCACAAATTTTGAGCGGAATATCGAAGAAGAGATAATACGGCTGAATGATGTCCAGGAACCGTTTTGCGACACCAGCGAAAGCATGGACGATCCTATAGCAGGTTCACTAGCTTCAATTGGACCAAAAAATACTTTTCTGCTTTTAACCTCGACATGAGGTTTCTGTTGAAATGTCTATTGAGCGAAGTGCGAGTGCATGACAATTACCATCGAACATTTCTCACTTCATATATAATAATTTATGAGCCTAAATTATATTATATTATTCCTTCTAACTGCCCTAAGAAGCGCACAGCACTCGTTATCTAAATGATGTTGTAAACATGGACAACATTCCTTATTACAATCAAACGTCACTGCGTGGGGCGGTTGACCAGATCAATTTATCATTTTTTACGCAAGGTTCAGTAAACTGGTGCTTCGCATCTACAGGAACTTAATCATAGCGATATGGAGAGCTCACCTAAAAAGGTTGGCAAGTCTTGCACAGGTGGGGTGTTGTTTTCAGAAAGGCTGGTGATGTGAGCGCAATAGATTTTTGAATAGCAAGCAATTTTTCGTTCTTGGCATTGTATTTACTTTCGATTCAATTTCAATGAACGTGGGACTAGATAGGTTGAGAAAGATGCGAGGAAGGAAAACAAGAGTGGTTTCTGTGATGTTGGATGGGAAATGGAGAGCCATGTTTGAAGAACTTTCCATCCTAACGTGGTCATTTAGAACTATGCAGACTACAGCGCCTTAGCGAGGCGTACACTGGTGTGCAAAACTTAAGACGGGCTAGATGAAGTAAAATAACTTATTGGTAGCTTTGTGGACCGTTCAACGGTTCCTGTCAATTGCTTTCTGTACTGCACTGTAGCAGCTCTTTCTTTGTGTGGTTAGAGTTATGTTACTCGCCAGTAACACACCATGGAAAAGCTACGTTCGTCCTCTAAGTTTTGCGCACCAGTGTACATCACATGGAGCGCGAGCTATCTACGTTTTATGCCGCGAAAATGCTACAGCAGAGTATTTCCTGACTCACAGACTCACACCCCCCTACACGCGCACTCCTTCACTGCACTCCGTTCAGAGACCGCATTGCAGAACGACTGTAACAGATGTGTACGCTTTTTTTTCGGTAGTGCAACATGTTCGTAATTGGTGGATCGAATTACCATCTTCTTGGCCGAAAAGTGAGATCGTAGCACATCCAGATGGGACAGCTGTGTTGAAAGTGGAACCGCAAAGCTTTTAGGGCCAAGAAAAACTGGTCCTTTATAGTACATCCGAAGAAAATCACCTGAACCTTGCGGAAATTACTGCGATGCCAAAACTGGTTCCTAAATGTTGATTTAAATCACGATAGCGAAGTTTATGTTGAAAAGCGCGGCCTAAAGTGTACAATCTCAATAACAAGTTTGACAATGTCGTGATACTTAAAGGTAGGTGGAGAGCGCCCTCTTCGCCCTCATAAATTTCAGCTATTGTATCGATACTCTGCAAAAGATCGAGTAAAGGGGGAGATCGTGTCTTCTGGAAAGTGTTGAAGGCTCACTCTATAGATTTCGGAAAGAGTTCTCATTGCAGCAGAGTTTTTTAAGTGAGGGATATATTTATAGCGTGCAATGCGATAACTTGCGAGGTCAAGATCTTTCTGTTCAGAGCCGATTTGGGCATTCCCTTTAGCTTGAAAACTGAATTTTCATCATACATCCTCTAACCATGAGTAGATTCGGAATTGCCGGGCAAATTTTTACATATGATCTACAACAGCTAAAAAATTTCAAATATTTATTCGAGGAAAAATCCAATAATTCCTTTAATAACCATTTTTGCAAGGCTCAAGCTCTATTCTGGATTCGTACGCGGGACGCAGATCATTATGTTTTTGAAGGCAAACTAGTTCTTTACAGTTCTGATAAATTGGCCGACAAGAATGAAATAAGCAACATTTTGGATAAATGAATTAATGGAGTCATTCAGAGAATTCATGACTGTTAAGCGTTGCGTAGGGTCAGATGTCTCGCTCATTCCTATAATATAGCACACTTATTTCTACCAACGCAGTACTCGGACAAAACGAGGCTTGGCTAAATTAGTGCAACTGTCATGCTCTCGATAACTTGATTACAATCACTTTACTTACACAAATACTAGCGGCATTGTAGCAGCGGAAATCTTTCAGCTGAGATCCTGTCACTGAATTATACAATACCGTCGGCTGCGAAATTGGACTCACCGTTTGTTTTTCCGAATCTCGATCCGATCACCTTAGAAATTGGTCTCTTTCTTGATTCGAAACTCTTCGAACACTTCCAACGGTGAGAATAAAATCTTGATGTCCTCCAGCAATCCCTATCAGAATTTCCCTTGCTTTCAGAGATTTTATTCAAGACGCTGAGCAACATCTACTCGACTTCTCATTGGCTTTAATCAATAATGTCCATGTGCTGTACCAGCAACCTTCGCTCTCTCCAAACTTGGAGATTGTCATCGTCAGATATGAGATGTGGAAATCGCAACCAGTAAGACTTCTTTACTTTTGACTGTTCGTATAAGCCAGGGCCGTCATCATAGTGAAACCAACCCTGCACAAGTTGAATCACCTGGGCTCCGAGCAGTGCTATAGCTGTATACTCATTGGATCTTTTGCCTAGGACAAACCATTTTTTTGTGAAGAGCAAAACACTTCCTCAAAGGAAAATAGAGCGTGGCACAAGATAAGACAACTTTCACCGCATTTATGCTCCAGAATCCCTGCACTCTGCGTAATTGGGTCAATTACCCGGCGCGCTTCTTATTCGCAATGTGTTGCAGACTGTTACAATTCTTATACCTATTGAAAACGTTTTGCGTGAACCGAGATGTGTGTATTTAAGTTAAGGGTCAAAAAGACGCCAATCTCCAGAGAAATAAGAACAAATTCCTACTGTCTTCTACACGAAGGACATCAGAAGAATCAGGCGCGTGAACATCAGGCAAGGTTGAAGCTCAAAGAGTTGCTTGTCGGATGGTGAACCATTATGACTTCTGAAGTGGTGTTTGAAAAGGCCTCACACAATCAGAACTGCTTACTCTACGAAACAGGGTTAGCATTTTCTACTTATGGAAGGAAATTTCTGGAATATTTTGCCGTGAACTTCCCATCAAAGATCTCTTTGTGCCAAAATGTCTTTTTTTGTCCCCGTCACCCTTCCCACTCCCCGTACATAGAGCGCTAATCGGGTCCCGCTAAAGTGATGAACCTATACGTACACAGGTGAGGCGACACGGTGGATAAAAACCTTGTATGATGCAGGATCTTGCAACCCAATTCCAACCTTACAACTAAATTCGTCATTCTTGAAATCAATTTCCTAAATCTTGCAACCAATTTTGGCCACTATTGCACTGTTACAACCGCCGGGAGGGGGGAGGGTGAAATGGGTCGAATAATTTTTTTACCGAGCTTACGAACTGGTGTTGAGCGGGACTGGCTGCAGCCTTCACGAAATTGTTCGCAACTTCTACGAATTTAAATGTGAACTTTACGATTTGGGTGAAAACCCTGTACGGTAGAAACAGTAGCGAGATGTTGACAGGCTCTCGCTAACCACTGCGTAGGTTGAATTCTTATTCGATTTCTTCTACTTCCTCTAAAGTCCTGAGAACAAATGCTATAGTTCACCTTGGAAGGAAGGTCTTCTTGGTGTCTCTTTCTTTGTTCTTCCAACAACAATCTACCCTGGGAGATGGCATGTTTACTACCGAGTTAATAGCTAAGCTTGGCTTTCTCTCTCTCTCTTCCATATCTTTTCGGAAATTCAGGAGGAGCAATATTTAAGTAGAACTTTGCTGTTCCAATCATTCGAAACCGTTTGCACTTTCTTCATCTTTTCCCTCCTTGCCTTTTGCATGTTACTTGTGTTTGTCAATTAATTCTTTATGGTTCACGAGGTTGTTACTTGAAACATTTCATTTGTCTTGCCCAACGGTTTGAATCATTGGTTGCGAAGATGTATAATCACCTCCTCATCCCATCTTTATAATTAACTACCAATTCACGGGTGTTAAAGTGTTTAGAATGTTCTCGCCGAGGAACTATTCTTTTTTTCAGAGCAATTTGGCGACGTTCGTGCACAAAAATGGGCAAGCCCAGAGCTTGCTGGATGCATTTTGCCGTCATCAGGCTCACATCAATCCGGGTACTGATCTGACCGACATGGGACATTGGGATCACGGCGTTCTGTTAACAGGGTTTGTCTACGGGATTTTTCCCTTCTAAAAGCCATAATTAACCATGATAAATGTTTTATTACCAAACAAGGCGTCCCTTATTGAACACTTCATTTTTAGTACATTGTGGGAAGCTTCTGAACACAGTTATTCGTTCAGTACATTCAAGGGCGTTTCATAATGCCACTTTTGGTTCGAGGTTTACATATGAGAGTCGTATTTGACTCTGCATTTTTGTAATTTTTTTTAATCTCTTTCATCGTATCGTATCAGACTGGATCTTGGCACTATCTCGACCGAGCTGATATCCTGCTACTCTTCTCATCTCTTTGAGTGATTTGGGGTTTTTCATCTAAGCATATTGCTGCAAACGGGAGTCAGGTGGTTTGTGCATGAGGATTACAGTGGTGAGGCAAGAGCGCTCGAGCCTCTCCACATTTTTGACGTGACTCTAAACACAATAGGAGCGACTTTTCTCGGATTGAATACACTCTCCACCCCATTGCAGTCGTTCCGAGGATGTAGAAGAGATGCTATTTAAAAAGCGTTACGAAATGCGATAAACATGAGCGCGGTAGTAGCGCATGCTGGATGATGGCACACGTTACCTTTACAACAAAATCGAGGAAAGGATGACCCTGTCGCTCTTTGAACAAGCACGATTTACCCATAATTTCTCACTTTGGAAAGCCAAAATGTATTTCCAACCTACAGGACTTCTTCTACCCAAGCAGCTCCTGAAGTTGCCATGAATTCCTAATAATTTTCATAGTTATAAAAAGAACAAAGAAATTTTAGTGACCCTGAGAGAGATTCAAAAAGTTTCTAAAAACAAATTAGTCGCTTTTTCGAGAGTGCTCTTACCTTTTGGCATGTAGTTTCTTCGAAATAATGTACCATGGTAAATTTTTCGAGCACGTGTTCATTTTGGACCTTCTAACGATCACAACTTTTTTCATAATGACTTTCGTGTGAAATAGGAGGCTCACGGCAAACTATAATATTTGGCCTTCCAAACAGTCCCTGAAAATTTGCCAAAAAAAAATTCTGTTCAAAAACTATCCTGTTTGTAATTTTTTTCTTGAGTGGTTGTGGGATCATTTTGAGGCGAGCTTTATGGGATCATTTTAAAGGCAAACTCCGGGATAAAACGTGGGACTTACCTGTTCAACTATGAAGTACTGGGTGCTAAGTGAATCGAAGCTAAAGAAAAAAGCAGGAAGTACTCCCAAAAAGTCCAAAATAAGAAATTTCTCTTCGTTAGTCGCTTAGAAACCAGGGCTGGGAGAATTACGTGTCTGGACGTGTCTACAGCAACTGTTGGCTTTATGCCAGCAACCGACACGGCTACAAAAAGTCAGCAATGAAAACTGATTGCTTCTAATTTCGCTATTTTTCTATTTACCTTTTTTGTTTTTTCCTATCAAAAATTTGATTATCACTAGAATGAATGACTAGGTTCTCGATAATGGTCTTAACATAGGCTTTGATGTTGGTTTTCGCAGTTGAAATCCGCTAAATATTCCTCTACGACCTTCCAAATAACAACTTAACATCTAGTGTTCCATGTGGTTGTTTGGAAGGTCATGGAACAGTGGGCGGGCTCAATGGGGTTGGGGCGGCGCCAATGCTCCAACCTAGGCTCCTAGCGCCTAAACCTTGTCAAATCGCCCCGCCACTTCTGCACATGGTCTGCCCTTGCGTACTGCTGCATATTTGACGGGAAAACCTAAATTTCGCCAGAAATCCCGAACTTTGCCTTTATAGCTTTCAACTGCAAATGATCATAAGTTTTTTTTTCTAAACACCTTTCATATAATGGAGTAACTTCCACAGGAAAAATTACAAGATGCGAAATTCCTAAAACGGACTGAAGCCTTTCTGAAAAGTCAGAACTCAAAAAAATTTCGTATTAAAATTTTCGTTTGGGGATTCGCGTGCTCTATTCATTGAAAATGGAATTTTTTGAACTCAAGTGGCCATAACTCACTTCAAAAGTGTCTTTTAACTGGGTTTGTGGGCCGCTTGTTAAAATAAGAAAGTAACACGTTCTAACCTGCGGAGATGTATAGCGGTTCGTGATGTCTCCTTTTGTAAAAACTCTCCCTTGGACATCGAAAAGTCATTGCTTTTACTACTCCAATTTTTTTGCTCGCACTTGATTGAAATTTCCCCACTGGATGTGCCGCGCATTCGTCTTTTGCTTGCTGAGGGTCGTAGGGGCCCTTGAATCAAGCCCCTTTGCGCTTTAAAGAATCACCAATTCTGATCCTAGTCGTGTTGTATTGCGGACATGTGTTTTTCTTTTATTTCCACATGGTTGCATTTTAACTTTATTCACCTGACGCATTCGTCATTGCGGACAACTTGCTCAAAATAACGCCCTTCAGAGACAGAAAACGAAAGAGCGATCGGCGGTTTATAGATTTCTTTGGTTTGCTCAATACATTGGTTTTCCGTAGCGATATCCTCTCCTCTGAACCCCTAGTTGAATATGAGAATATTGCCGCGTGTTTAGACCGTAACCCTTGGACATATGATCCCCTTTTCTAGACCTAAAAGGAGTCCCTCTTTGACAAATCATCAACCAACAGATGGTTGAGCCTGGTCGGCACGAAGACTTGCCATGTGCGCTTTCATTTGCCCTTTCTGGGCAGTGACGCAATCCTCATGTTCGCTTCACACTCA